TCAATCCCCCCCTTTGCTATCCCCCCCTTTCGCCCGACCCGAACCAGGCACTGGCGAAGGGGGCCAAAGATTGAGCCAAACACTCTGTCAGAGAGGTCTCGCACGGCCCAACCCGCGGGGCGGGAGCGGCCGAGTCTTGATGGTTTCGCCCTCCGTCGCCGGCCCCCCTGTTGCTGGTGCGGGCGGCTGCGCGGGGGTGTGGGGCCTCTTGGGGATCTCCTTGAACGAAGGATTGCAAAAAAACCCTCTCTTGAACGAAGGATTGCAAAAAAAACCTGGCTTTTGCAACCCTTTTTGCAATCCTGGGTTTTTTTGCAATCCTTTGCAAAGCCTCCTTGGGGCCTCTTTGGGGCCTCTTGGGGGCCTCTTTGGGGCCTCTTGGGGGTCTCCTTGGGGCCTCTTGGGGGTCTCCTTGGGGCTTGGGGCCTCTCGGAAACAATATTTCGTGCTTCTTGGGGGTCTCCTTGGGGCGTCTTGGGGACCTTTTGGGGGCCTCTTGGGGGCCTCTGGGGACCTGATTGGGGCCTCCTGGGGCCCTCTAGGGACGGAAAGGTCGAGTTTTCGGTTCGCGCATTCCCTCTTGGGCCTCTCTCAGGAACCCGTCTTGGGGCCCTTTTCGGCCGTCTTGGGGCCGTCTTGGGGGCCTCTTGGGCCGTCATGGGGGCTTCTAAGGCCGTCGTGGGGCGATCTTGGGAACTTCTTGGTCCGTCTCGGAGCGTCGGAAAGCCGAAAAGGCGAGAATACTGAAAAGCTTCAAACACGTAAATCGTTGATGTTTGCTTCGTTGGGCCCTCTTGGGAGGCCTCTTGGAGGCCTCTTGGGCCGTCTTGGGAGCATCTTGGGCCGTCTTGGGGCCATCGTGGGACATCTTGGGGCCATCTTGGGCCGTCTTAGCCTACTGAGACTCTCTTCGGAGCCGCGTCGGGTAATCTTGGAGGCCTCTCGGGTCGTTCTGGTCGTGCGGTGGCGTCGCCATGAGAATCCTGGGGTGGCCCTGGAGCATCCTGGATTTGAGATTCGCCCTTCCTGTTGGCTGTTTGGTGACGCGGCGGGGCCCCTTATGCAGACAGGGCGCTGGAGGCAGGAAGCAGGACTGGAGGAACAAAAGGCCAAACAACAAATGACAACACATGACACACGACATCAGACCGCACACACCTTCGCAGCCTTGCGCCCCCAGAGGGGGCCGGCGGATAGCATTCGTCTCTGGAGCTTTCCAGAGCATCCAAGACGGCCTGCGATGCCTCCAGATCGCCCCGAGACGGCCCAAGAGGCTTCCTAAAGGGCTTCAAGACGGCCCAAGAGAGCCCCAACAAGGCCCAAGAGGCCCCTAAGACAGCCCATGAAACCCCCAGGACGGCCCCAAGAGGGGTCCCAGAGGGGGTACCCGAATGGATATTTCAAGCCTTCGCCCCCACGACGCCCCCAGGAGGCTCCGGGAACCCTCCATAAAGCCCACAAGAGGCCCCGAATAGGCTCCCAGGAAGCCCAGGACCCCAAGAGGCCCACAAGAGGCATCCATGGCGATCCCGAAGCTTCCAGAAGAAGAGACGATGCATGGCCGTCCTGACGCGATCTTGGGCCGTCTTCGAGCTCAAGGTGCCCCCATCATGGCCCAGCAGGCCCCAGAAACGTCCGAAGAGAGCCTTCCTGGGGGTCCCCAGAGACCCTTCGGCCGTGTTGGGACCCTCTTAGGGGCTTTTCTGGCCGTCTTTTCACGGGCGAATAACGGTATAAAATAAACTTTTTCGCCGTCGGGGGCGCCTGTCCCTGGGCGGCTGGAAAGTTTATACCCTTACGGTGGCACCGTAAGGGTATAAACTTTCCAGCCGCCCTGGGGCAGGTGTCCCCGACGGCGAAAAAGTTTATTTTATACCGTTCTTCGCCCGTTGAGTCTTGGAGTGACCATGGGAGCCTGTTGAGCCGTCTTGGGTACGGTTGAGACCAACAATGCGAGTAGACACATAGAGCGGGGCGCCGGGTCTGGGGTGCACGTGCCAGGCCCCCGACCGCAAGTATGTGAACCGGGATGCCTGGGCCTTGCCGGCGCGCTGGAGGCCCTCCCAGATCGCCTGCCAACGCGCTTCGAGGCCGCCAGGATGGCCCAGGACGGCCCAGATCGGCCACAACTGCCCCCCGACTGTCCAAGAGGCCTCCAACGCCTCAAGAGGCCTCCGCCAGGCCTCCCAATGATGCAGCTCCACTCCGTCGCTCCGGCCACGCAGAAGATCAAGGCGCGCATCGCCTCCCTGGCGATGGAGAGCGCAGGCCAGCTCTGTGCGCAGCGGCGGCTCGTTCAACCGCGAGGAGGAGACAGGCTGGGCAACGCGTGGCGCCGCATGCACGCGTCTGGGCAAGTGCCGCAGCACTTGTAAGCAGATCTGCCACCTCCTCGACGCTGCGAGCCGGTCGCACGATCTTATGCGTCGATCATCCTTCGGCTCGGCGCCGCTGGCAGCACGCGGAGCAGCAGACGGCCCGCGGGCGCGCGCCCCGACGAGATCGGGGGGCAGAGGGGGGATGGGGACGACGCTGTACTGGCCGAGCTGGTCGCTGACGGCGCGTCCGTTTCCAACTTGGCCACGGGCCGCGCGCGGCCGCCGTCGGAGAAGAGCATGGCAGGCCGCCTACGGCGGCTAATTAGCAGACCACCAACATCACGTGGCGCGATATCCGCGACGCGAGGGCCGACCCCATGACGAAGGGAAGCGTCGGCCGCGAGCTCATCCTCGACATCGTTGAGGGGAAGTTCGTCTACGAACGCCCCACAATCAGGTCGCGCGAGGAGTGGCGCGAGCAGACTGTGCCAAGCTCCCGCCGTAGCGACCTCGACAGGGACAACGGCGACGCTGCTGGGCAACCCGCTCGGCGTCGCATTTTCTGGACTACGTTCGCGAATGCAGCGACCGACGCGCACGTCGCGAACTGCGTTCGCGAATGCGACACAGTCCATCGGGAGGAGAGATATGACGCCTGTCGCCATCAATTGTGTTGGCGGGGCTGTGAGCGTGCAAGTCAGTCGCCGCCTGCCCCAGCAGAAGAGTCTGCCGCCGCGCAACTTTTGAGAGGGGCCCGGTTAGTAGAGGGCCCTCTCTGAGTCTCTGCGCAGTCTCCACTTTCTTATGCAGAGTTGTGCTGAGACCTGGTCAGCAGAAGGTCTCAGCAGTACAACTTGTTAAGAGGGGCCTGGTTCGGAGCGGGTTCTTTCAGGGGGGGGGGTCAGCAGAACCCCCATGCGTTGCACTTGTCTGTGCTTGTAACTGTTTCGTGAGACCTGGTCAGTAGAAGGTCGCCTCCGCGTAGCTTAGTTTTGCTTTTTGGGTGCGGCTTGCGCACCCGAGCTGGCGAGGCACGAACAGACCCGTTTGAGCACCAGACACGAACGGCAGCGAATCGTTTTGCCTTGGCCTTTGCTTCCTTTAGTGGTCTCCCTTTTACACTGCCATTTTGGCTCTGGGGCGCGGCAGGTTGCAACCTGCCGCGCCCGGGTTATATTCGTTTTTATCTCCAATTGGCGACTGCGCCGGTATTGTCCGGCCGAGCCCTGGGCTACAGCTGGGCCGTCTTTGTGTTCATTCTGGCTTGGTTTCGTCTGTGGTGGAGGATTTTTTAAAGTCAGGGAGGATTTAGCATAAAAGTACACCCCATCGCACCCAGCGAAGCTGCAAGGCTACTGGCAATGGTGGGGAACTCCAGGTCCCAGTGGGTTTTCATAAGATTGGCCACTCCAGTGCGTTCCGAACGGCGCCAGACAACCGTTCCTCCCTAATCCAGGAACCCATGAAAAGCTGCGGCCCGGTACATGTATTATGTTGTATGCCAAAAAATGTGGGGAGGGTTGTCTGGGGGGGGGGGGTGTCGGGGGGGTTCTGTCCGGCTCTTCGCGGGGTTGTCCAAGGGGTTGTCCAGCCCGCGCTTGTTTGCCAGCGCGCGCATAGGCCTGAATCATCCATATCATAAGAAGCATGGCGCAGCCAACCAAATCCAGCTGGAAAGGGCGCCTCTCTTTCTTCCTTCCCGTCTTGTTCGTTCCTCTTCTCTCGCGTGTTCCCGTTCCCGCTCGCGCACCCTTATTGTCTTTGTTCCCCACGAAGTGTGACCGGTTGGAGTCTTGTAGTTGTGGGAGTTAGTTCCGGCCGCGGGACCAGCGCACAAAGACATGCTGAGCATGTTGGGGTTGTCTTGCCACTTTCGCTTGAGACATCCTCGTAAAGCTGGGCTCACGCAGACGTAGGTCTGAGGTGTTCATGTAGGTTTCGCCAGCGATATCCTCGCAACTCTGGGCTCGGAGATGACGCCCACGAGGTCGTCCGTCCTCGCAACCTTGGTACCACAGATGCCCTGACCTCATGTGGTCCGAGAGCGACCAGCGACCCCCAACACAAGGACATGCAGGGCGTTTCCGCCGCACGTCGGATTCTCGAGGGGATTGTCCAGGGGGTTGCCAGCCGGGTTGTCAGTGGGTTTGTCTGGGGGACGTCCAGGCGCAATCCTACGCAAGCCTTTTCTTGGGCGCGCTCACTCTTCAACCTTCAGCCTTTTCCTCATTCTTCAGCGTCCGGCCAGTCTCGCTTGAGACATCCTCGCGATTCTGGGCTGACCTGAGGTGGTCCAGCCAGTTTCGCCAGAGGCATCCTCGCAACTCTGAACGGGAGTGGTGCTGTCGCCTGAGCGCTAGCTGCACTCTCGATTGGGAAGTGTGCTGTCGCCCGAGGACTGGATGTCGCTGTCGCCTGAGCGCAAGCCACATCATTTTTTGAAAAAGGTGCTCTTTCCAATGCGCCGGCCACACGGTGCTCTCGCTCAAGCGTTGGCCACACATACATGCTAGGGCACTTGTGGTCTTCATCTCGGAAGGGTTGTCTGGGTTGTCCGGGGGACTGTCCGGGATTTGTTTGTGATATGTTTCCATACAACAAAGTACGCGCAATGGTTCGATGAGGGCCTTCGTCATATTCATCCCGCCTTCGTCGTATCACCCCGCCGCCGCAGCGCCCTAGGCCAGAGCGCCGCGTGCGACGTCTGCGGCGCGCCACACCGAGCGGAGACCACGGCTCGGGCTCGGGGGGATGGGGGGGTAGGATGAGAAGGAGCATGGGGGAGCAAGACGAGGAGGAGGAGGAGGAAGATCGGAAGGAGGAGGAGGAGGAGGAGGAGGAGGAGGAGGAGGAGGGTCGGGAGGAGGAGGAGGCGGAGGAGGAGGAGGAGGAGGCGGAGGAATATTAACAGGAGTAACAGCATTGGCGCAACCAGACTCCATGAGCGCAGGGAAGCCAACACATTGGGCCGCCTGAGGCGTCGAGCCTGGGCCGCCCTCGGCTGAAAAACAGCCAAAAACCAGGCGCCCCGTGCCGCGGGGGCCCCCAGCGGACGGACCCCAGCAGCCTCCACTAATAGGGCAGCCAGGGCCGACGAAATTCCATGGCGGTGTGGGCCGCACTGGATGCGCCGTGCGGCGCACCGCCCTGGGGGCCAGGGGCCCCACGCGACAGCAGACGGGCCCCCGCTTCCCGCACCCCTCGCGCTCTCGGCGCTGGCGGGGGGGGCCTTCGCGCCGCGAATCGGGCGCGTGATGCCCGCCTTCGCGCGCTGCACCCATCGCGCCCTCGGAACAGGCCCGAGGGAGCCCGCACCAGCCCGCCCCCCGAGGGGACCCCAGGAGGAGGAGGAGGAGGAGGAGACTTAGGAGGAGGAGGAAGAGGAAGAGGAGGAAGAGGAATAATACTAATATTAATAATAATACGAATAATAATAGTATGAATAAGACGAAGCAAACAACTAATACGAATAAGACTATGATTAATATGAAGAACACGAAGACGAAAACTAATACGACTACGAAGAACGAATACTAATAATGAGACTAGGCGTAATAAGAATACGATCACTAATAAGCATACTATGACTACTATTTCGAAGACGAAGCATACTAATAATATGAATAATAAGACTATGAAGACGATTGCGACTACCACTAACAATAATAAGACGGCGAACCACACGACTAATCATACGAATACGACTACGGCTAATGCTACTAAAATCAGAAGACGCATTTTAAGACGACTAATACTATTGAGAATACTACTAAGACGAAGAGGATGAGGAGGAGGAGGCGGAGGAGGAGGAGGAGGAGGAGGAGGAGAGGAGGAGGAGGAGGAGGAGGAGGGAGGGAGATGGGAGATGGGAGGAGGGAGATGGAGGAGAGAGGAGAGATGGGGAAAGGAGGGAAGAGGGAGGAGGGGAGGAGGGAGGAGGAGGAGGAGGGAGGGGAGGAGGGAGGGGGGGAGGAGGGGGAGGAGGGAGCAGGGAATGAGAAGGACGGGAGGGAGGAGGAGGGCGGGAGGGAGGAGGAGGGATGAGGGAGGAGGGAGGAGGGGGGAGGGAGGAGGGAGGAGGGAGGAAAGATGCGGTAGGGGAGGAGGAGGAGGGAGGAGGGAGGAGGGGAGGAGGAAGGAGGGAGGCGGAGTGCGGGAGGCGGGAGGTCGGGAGGGTAGGCGGGGGAGGCGGAGGCGGGAGGCGGGAGGCGGGATGATGGAGGAGGAGGCGGGAGCCGGGTGGCGGGAGGAGGGAGGAGAGGGAGGAGGGAGGAGGGAGGAGGGAGGAGGGAGGAGGAGGAGGAGGAGGGAGGAGGAGGGAGGAGGAGGGGAGGAGGAGGAGGAGAGGAGGAGGAGGGAGGGAGGAGAGAGGAGGAGAGAGGAGGAGGAGGAGGAGGAGGAGGAGGAGGACGAGAGGCGAGGAGGAGAGAAGGAGGAGGCGAAGGCGGAGGCGGAGGAGGAGGAGGAGGCGCAGGAGGCGGAGGAGGAGGAGGAGGAGGAGGAGGAGGAGGAGGAGGTGGAGGAGGAGGAGGGAGGAGGAGGAGGAGGAGGAGGGGGAGGGGGAGGAGGAGGAGGAGGAGGGGGAAGGGCAAGCTAGGTGCGCTCGCGTCATATCTGACGTCCTACCCCTCCCTCCCATCCCTTACCATGGCGCTGATTTTCTCTATCCGCGGACGCGTGTCGTAGCGGACCTGTGGCTCCGCGCGCGCGTGCGTAGTGGGTGGTGGTGCGCGTGCGTGCGTGCGTGCGTGCGTGCGTGCGTGGTTGTGGTGTGGTGGTGGTGGTGGTGGTGGTGGTGGTGGTGGTGGTGGTGGTGGTGGTGGTGGTGTGGTGGTGGTGGTGCTGGTGGTGCTGGTGCGGTACTGGTGCTGGTGGCTGGTGCGGTGGTGGTTGGTGGTGGTGGTGGTGGTGGCGAGGCGGGCGCGAAAAAAGGCCGCGCTGGGGCGAGAACGCCATCCTGAACGACGGAGGCCAAACACCGATCCGAAAATGAGGCCCACGCTGCAGCGGGAGCACGATTCGGAACGATTCGGGAGCAGAAATGAGGCCGGCGCCTCAACGAGAGCAGCATTTTGGGAAAAAATGACGCCGGCGCCTCAGCGAGAGTCGTTTCCCGGGATTTCCCGGGCATCCTGTGTGTAAAAAACAGTACGCGGAGGGTGCGCGGCCATCACCCGGACGCCATCAGGGGAAGAGGGAGAGTATAGAAGGAGGAGGAGGAGGAAGGGAGGAGCAGGAGGAGGAGGAGGAGGAGGAGGAGGAGGAGGAGGAGGAGGAGGAGGAGGAGGAGGTGTTAACATGCAAGCATGCGTGTGACAGGGGAGGAATAGTAACCCCGCTGCCTTTGGCTCAAGTGTTTAACGGTCGAAGTCACATCGACCAGTTGCGCCGTTCGGGAGTATAAAGGTGACCTATCGTTATCATTGTCGCCAAGCTCCCGTGCAGAACCCTCCTCGGGGTTTTGCATGGTAGCGGAGCGCGGTTGCCATGGCAGCGGCAGCGGCAGCTGCGGCCAGACCTGGACAGGGCGACCCGCCAGTTAATCTCAATGTGCCGGCAGACAGAGATGCTTGGGTCAACATGGATCCGAATCGATTCAACGACCTGTGCGAGCAAGCATACGTGAACGGAGACTTCAGTTACGTTCAAACGGCGCTACTCGCGAACCACTTTGGACTCGCAACGTTCATTAACGAGCGAGTGGCACAGGACCGAAGGGAGGTATCGAACGCCGAAGCATTCCAAATGTTACAGAGTGCCCACAAGACCAACAGTATGCTGTTAGCGATCACGAAGAGAAATGCTGCGCTCGAAAGAGATGCTCGCAGATTAGTGGAAAGAGTCACCGAGTTGGAGACTAACAGTGAAGTACAAGAAAAGCTGATCGAAAGGTTCGGTCAGATCTCGGAAGCAATCAAAGGAGGAAGCGGAAACAAGCACGGGAGCAGTAAACCGATAAGCGAATATAAAGCGTTACAGGCGCTAAAGAACTTCAGTGGGGAAAAAGCGAAGTTCAGAGACTGGAACGACAAATTCTTGAACGCATTAGCCCAAGTGAAGCCGAGTTACCGACCGGCACTGAAAATGCTAAACAAGAAGCTGGAGACGCTTGACGGAGTTGTACCAGAAGAGGACGATGATGACATCATACGCATAATGAACGGTCGATTAACTGCAAGCGAGTACCTGAAGGCAAGTCAAGCCAAGCAAGCTGAGGACGACAACAAAGGCGAATATGAGTTTACCGAAGGAGACAAGACTCAGATGGAAGAAGACTTATGGTACATTCTGAACGAGAAACTTGAAGGTGCGGAGGCCAGAGGAAAATTAAAGGGACTGATGGATGGAGACGGAATCATGGCTTGGCAAAAGGTTTACAAATGGTACTCGGCGGTAACCGGAGCGACCTTATCATCAAAAATGACGCATGCCATGAATCCCGAACCGCCCAAGAAGATCACCGACACCGTTACCCGACTTGAGGAATGGAGCGCATTGGCAGAAAATCTTGAGAAGTATGGCAAAGATTACTCGCTGCCTCTTCCTGTCAAAGTCACCGCGCTCAGGGCCATAATGGTGCACGCGAATGACTGGTTTGACGAATGGCAGCAGGCATGTTGGCGAACGCCTGACGCGCTTAACATTGACTCATTTCAGAAATTGTACTCAAAGTGTGAAGACTGGGCGCGTAAAAAGAAACTTGACTCAGATACAAAAAATAAGGATGCAATGGACATTGGGAATATCAACGAGGTGAGTCAAGGGTCCGAAAACGTTTGGGACCAAACAGGATGGGTTGACGAAGATGGAAACTGGTGGTCAGAGGATGGATCGTGGAATCACGGGTCCTGGGCCAATGAAAGTGACGGTGGAGAATATGAAGAAATTGACGCCGTAAACAAAGGTAAGGGTAAAGGAACGGGCCCCAGGTGTTACAATTGTGGAGGCATGGGCCATTTAGCCAGGAATTGCACGAGACCCAAGCAGTTCACCAAAGGAGGTAAAGGTGGCAAAGGCGGAAAAGGCAAAGGTTACCGAGCCACTTACGGATCCTATGTGAAAGGTAAGATCGGAGGCAAACAGGGAGGTAAAGGAAGTAGCTCGTGGGGGGGAAGCTACGGAAGCCAAGGGAAATTTACCCCGCACAGTGAGCGTGAATGTTACAAGTGTGGCGGAAAAGGGCATATTGCCATTAACTGCCCGGGCTCCAAAAAGACCGCCAACGAAGTTGAGCAAGAGAAGCCTGTAGTGAACACCGAAACTGAACAAACCACCTCGTTCGGTCAACCACAGCACGTTCTCAGCGTCGAGATGAAGGAAGCAATGAACGTGTCGCTAGACCAGACTGCGATCGAGGAGGTTAACGAGAAATGGGACCTGCCCTATTACGCCAGAAAGAAGACGGCGCGTGACAACGCGGTAAACATGAGGAGAATCTATCAGGAACACCAGTACGATGGGGACCGTTATCATACTAGTCAGTGGGATCAAAGAATAAGTAAAAGCGTGAGGCAGGAAAAAAGTTGGCTGGCGAAATGCAAGGAAATTGGACTAATTGAGATGCGGGGATGTGATCCAGAGATTAACGCAGTACCGCCGCCAAGTGCAACACATGAGACGATCGTGGTCACCGTGGACTCCGGCGCCTACAACACCGTGGGGCCCCCCCAAAGTTGGCACTCATTTCCCCATTGAGCATGCGGACGCGTCAAAGCAGGGACGA